ACACCTCTCTGGTCTGGGACGGACGGACACACACACACACACACACACACACACACACACACACACACCCTCTGGTCCGAACCCAGACCTCTGGCAGTGCAGAGCTGTTGTGGAGAGGCGAGTGGCACTTGGAAAGGGCACCATTGATGAGCACTGTGCAAAGTTCACGTGAGGTCTCGTTCACAACCGTATCCCAGCTCCGAAGACAATTGGCTCTCAAAATGTTCAGTATTTGCACTTTTATACCTGGTATGAAAGTGTCTTGTAATTGTTTTACTACTGGGGACGAGAACAGCCTCCACATCCATTAATAAGGCTGTGACCCTTTGCTGAAGAGCAGTGAGTTGTGGTGTGTGATCCGTTGACAGTGGTCTGGGGTGGTGCGTGGCGCCCGCCGGCCAGGTCACGGAGCACCTGTCGCTGAGGTGGTTCTGAGTCCTGGTCCTCAGTGTCCAGGAGTAGACCACACAGGAGCCACAGTGTGGGAATGGGAGCACGTGGTTGTCACAGAATTTCAGAAGGTGCAGCAGGCCCCAGTGGGCTGCTCGTGCCGTCTGCTCAGCGATCGTGTCTGTGTCCCTGCAGCTCGTGGACCTGCCTGGTGGACCTGGAAGGATTAAACATGCGCCACCTGTGGAGGCCCGGTGTCAAAGCGCTTTTGCGCATCATTGAGGTGGTGGAGGCCAACTACCCCGAGACGCTGGGCCGCCTGCTCATCCTGCGGGCCCCCCGTGTCTTCCCCGTCCTCTGGACCCTGGTGCGTACAGATGCCGTGTGCGGCCAGGCCCCTGAGTGTGCCCTGTGATCTGCATGCTGTGGGCAGTCTGTCCCCTGTGTATCCCCACGGCCCTGGACCCTGGTGCATGCAGACACTGTGTGGCCAGCCCCTGGGTGTGCCCTGTGTGTCCCATGTCCTGGACCCTGCTGCAGGCCGACACGGTGTGGCCAGCCCCCAGTGTGACTGTGCTAATGTGTGCAGGAGGCAGGTAAAGCATGCCGTGCGTGCGCCGTACGTCCCCCTTGTCCCCTGTGTTGTGAATACTGTCTGCCGCACGCCCCTGCTGTCCCCTAAGCTCTGGTCACAGGTGCATGCAGATGCCATATGCAGCATGCCCCTGCACGCTTCCCTGCTGTGGACACTGCAGTGTGACCCGAGTTCCCATTCTCTGGGTGCTGGTGTGCTGTCACTACTCAGGCATTCCTCCACAGTGACACTGGTGGTGCCGTGCTTAAACACTTAGCTGCCAACAGGAGGGCGATGGTTTTCACTCACCCCATGGCTCCACCGGAGAGAAGCGTGGTGCTCCGCCCTGTAAAGACTCCCATCTGGGGAACCCTGGGGGCAGTTACTCTGTCCGAGGGGGTTGCTGTGCATTGCGATCAACAACACAAAGCAACATATCTTAACAGAAAATCCCAAATCTGTTGCTATCAATCCCCGCGCCAGCAACCAGTACCTGTGACTAAGGCTGTAAGTTGTCTGAGCTTGGTCCTCCTGCTCTGCAGATGGTCTTACAGAGGGCGTGTGTGAGCCCCACGTCCGTGCTGTCCCCCTGTCCATCCAGCGCCCACTCTGGCCTCCCTGCATGATTTCAGTCTCTGGGACGAGACAGCAAAGACTAGTGTCTCTTTGTCCACGCTTCCAGGTCAGCCCGTTCATCGATGACAACACCAGAAGGAAGTTCCTAATTTACGCAGGCAATGACTACCAGGGTCCCGGCGGCCTGCTGGACTACATTGACAAGGAGATCATTCCAGACTTCCTGAGCGGAGAGTGCATGGTACGGGTGGGCGCGTCATGGGCCTCTGCTGCCCTAAAGGGTGGCTCTGCACACGGGACTGTGACACTGGGGCTGGCACTGCTTCTGTCTGGCCTGCTTCGGGGCTGTGCTCTGTGACCCAGGGCCACGCTCAGAGAGGTGCTAAGGTCGTGGTTAATGACACGACGGTGCTGGTTCTTCAGTGCATGTGCACATTCACCTCAGATTCTGATAGAATTGAACGCACGCGGTCTGCTGTGAGACCTGACTAAACAGGCAGTGCATTTAGGAAAAATAGTGTGTCCAAGAAATACGACTCACAAAGATTTCCTCCTCAAAGAGAAATTAGGATGCCATTTTTAAAGTAGGAAAATTAAAGGAACTGGGTCTCTAAATTTGGTTTTAAAAAAGGAAGGAGCTTAACTTGCCAGATGATCAATTCAGTGCCTCAGTTCACATCCTCTGTAATGTTACAAAGGAGCCCTGTTGGGAGGTGGGCTGTCATGGAACCATGGGTGCAGCCTCTTGTGCCCTGACCTGGGCAGCGGGTTGAGGACCCTGAGTTCTGTAACCATGGCTGGACTCGACTCCATGGACTACAGCGCCCTGACCTGGGCAGCAGGGTTAGGACACTGAGGTTTGCAGCCACAGGTGGACTGGACTCTGTGGACCACGGACAGTCTTCAGCCGCAGGGCAGAGAGCACCAGCCTCGTGCATCTGGCTCCCATTACAGAAAGGGTCTCCGTTCGCCCTTGGTGGTGGCTGCAGTTAGCCTTTTGCCACGTTGACACTGCACTTGACTCCTGGTTCAGTGGATGAACCAGACTTTCAGACACAGCTTCTTGAAAAAACACTGCCGCCCAGCTCGTCAGCCCTGCTTTAAGGAATGGCAGATGTGAGGGCAAGGAGTGGACCCTGGATCTCCTTCTGACTGGCTGGAGGTGGTCCAGGAGGGAGCCCAGGAGCTGCATTATTGTGTGATCACATACTCAGTGCCTGACCGCCTGGTTGAGGCGCGAAGACTTAGTTCTCAGGAGCAGGAGGAAGCCTGCCCTGTGGGACGCCAGCACCTTGCTGACCTGGCCAAGCTAATGAGGGCCCTGGAAAAACACTGGTGCCCACGGAGTGTGTCGCTCTGGCACATCTCTGCGGTCTGGTCAGGTCACTGCTGGGACACTGGTTCTGCTCCACTGGGAGTCGAGATTCAAAGGTTGATTCTCTGAAGCGGCCCCCAAGGCTGCCTCTTCCCATGGTCAGTGAGGGTGCTAGGTCCACCCCTCGGCTGGGCTGGCGCCCGGCGTCCAGCGGGTCACAGGTTCTCCCCCCTGTTCTCCTGCTGCTGCTGTCCCCCACGGCTCAGGCGACACAGCCTCCGGGTGACGAGGACGTCCCAGCTGTGACGTGTGTGGTGAGATAGCGGCTGGAGCTCCGGAGAGGCACGCTCTGCCTTGAACAGCAGCGGGAACACTACACTCAGACTTCCCCTGCCGCAGTGTCGGTCTCGGGGAGCAGAAGCTGTGCGTGTAGCTTCTGTGCTAACTCGGCTTCAGCGTCTTCCCCTTCGTTCTGAGTGGACGCACAGGCTGACAGTTTGGTTGAGTTTCTGTCCTGACCCAGCTTTGCTGGGGGAGCTGAGCTGAGGGAGCTGTGTCTGCCGTGACACTTCCCTGGGGTGACAGTGGGGGAGCTGAGAGGTGGTGGGGAAACATCGTCTACTGTTGCACTTCTCAGGGGTGACTCTGGGGGAGCTGAGCTGGGGGAGCGGTGTCTGTGTGACACTTCTACGGTGGCATGCGTGGTGTTCACGGCCTGATTGGCTTTGCAGTGTGAAGTGCCGGAGGGTGGTCTGGTCCCCAAGTCTCTGTACCGGACGGCGGAGGAGCTGGAGAACGAGGACTTGAAGCTTTGGACCGAAACCATCTACCAGTCTGCCAGTGTCTTCAAAGGAGCCCCACACGAGGTACGACTGTGTCCACGTCAGGCCCCTGGGACCTGGCCACCACGTCCCCACCAGAGCCACAGAGCCTCTTGGTCTTACTCTTGGGGCCTCTTCTAGAAATTTCTTGGTTTAGAGGAATCATTTGGATCCTTTTTCTGGCTGTAGGTATTTCTGGTCATTCTTGGAATAGGAAATACAGTTGACCCTTGAACCTGCAGATTGGGTTGAAAATCTGCCCATAATGAGCATTTGACCTTTGAACTGTGTGGGCTCGAGTGTTGCGAGCACCCACTTCCACGCCGTGTGCCGATGGCTGTCTCCCCGTGAGCGGCCCTCCCTCAGGGGTGCGCCCTCCCAGGTGGTTACAAACACTGAGCTCACCACGGGAGGCAGGTCCCCCCAAGTCCAGTCAGCTCGTGTCATGCAGGGCCTTGGGCTGCCGCTCCGTGTGTCCACCATTCACCCTGAGCAGACGTGTGGTGGCTACAGGCCCTGGGGGACCCCCAGCCCGGAATCTGCATGGGACTCGCTGCCTCTCCTGGGCTTCCTGACCAGGCTGTAAGCAGGTTTAGGAATAAGTCCTTTTCTCCAAGCAGAGTGGAGTGAGGTTAGGAAGGAGCAGGCTCCTTTCCGACACTCTTCCTGATTGTCACGTTGTGGTGTGGAAGCTGCGGTATACTCCGTGTCCCATGGGAGCCCTGGTGACCAAAACATCAGTGGTTCAAACTCTCCGTCTGCTCTTGGAGAGAAAGATGTGTCAACCGACTGGTGAGGTTAGGGAACCCCACAGGGCACTTCTGCTCTGTCCTCCTGGGGCCCCAGCTTGGCAGCAGCGGGTTTGGTTCTTCGCATGTATCCTTTGGGTCCCAGTTGACCTGGAGAGGGTGGCAGATCTCATCAGTTCACATCCGTCCACCTTCCCCTCGCTGCAGGGCAGGGCGTGTGCTGAGCAGCTCGGGTGACAGTGGCATCCTGAATGTGTGACATGCTCCTGAGAATGTGGGACTGGCCTAGACTGAGCAGCCGGCACTCTCCTGCTGCCTCCTGTGACTTGTGACTGTCACCATGGTGCCCTGCACGGCCAGGCTGCCGGCTGTGGGACAGGCGGGTGGGGAGAGCGCTGGGCCGCGGTCCTCGACCCTGTAGTATAGTGTGATGGTGCGCACTGCTGCTCTTCACAGGAGCTGGTGGAGGTCCACGGGGAAGGTTGCCACCATCCTCTGTACGCTGGGAAGGAGCCCAGAGGCTCAGCTTGTGTTGGGCTACTAACTGAAAGGTCAGGGGTTCAGACCCACCCATGAAGGAGAGATGAGTCAGTCTTCCGTAAAGATTTCTAGCCTTGGAAACCTTAGAAGCAGTGTTTCCCACCCTGCGGGGCCTTTGGCTTGGGCCGACTCCACAGCAGCGGTGGTTTGTGTTTTGGGGGGGGGTGGCTTTTTGTGTGTATCTGGGGGGAGCCAGGCTTTTGGTTGTTTGTGTGGGTCGTGTCAGGAGAGCTCTGCACACAGTGTGGGTGTGAGGCCTCAGGTGCCGGAAGGTCACCACAGTCAAGAGGCAAGAGCTCAGGCACCACCCAGAGCAGCCAGTCACCTAGGACGGAGGCTGTTCCTGCAGGAAGTGGAGGGTCTGCTCGGGGCGCTGGGGCTGGGCTCCGTTTAGACCTGGGGGCCCTATGGCTGGAGAGACAGAGAGAATGCCCTTGTGCCCGGCGGGGCGGCCCTGCCTCTGCTCTAAGGATTTGGGCAGTTTGTCAGGTGGGAACAGGTGTCGGTGGTGGAGGGAGAAACCCACTGGACCACCTTTCAAAGGATCCACTTTGAGGAAAGAGGCACTGAGAGCTGTGGCTACATTGTGTCCAGGGCGAGACAGTGCACATCCTCCTGCATTTGCCCCATGGGACCTCTGGGTCAGTCCCCCTACAGCCACCAGGGCACCATGCCCAGGCCACACTGCTGCTCTGTAGTGTGGAGGCCTTTGGGGCCTGGGGTCAGCATGGAGCTTGGCCATGAGGTCTGGGCTTACTGTGCTGGTGGGTTTGTGGGTCCTGGTAAAGAGAACCTCTGATAAACACTTGGCTTGGTTATGGCTGTCAGCGACTAATGGGACCTCGTCCCCGCTCCGGGACTCAGTTGACAAGGCCTCGTCACCAATGGTGACTCTTGAGGAGCTGAGAGGATGTTGGCCCTACTGTGACGGGCCTCGTCCCCTCGTGCTGACCGGGCCTCGTCCCCTCGTGCTAACGGGGTGTTGTCGTCCCCTCTTGCTCACGGGGCGTCGTCCCCTCACACTGATGGACTCTCTTCTCTAGATCCTCATCCAGATAGTGGAGGCGGCCTCTGTCATCACCTGGGACTTCGATGTGTGCAAAGGGGACATTGTCTTCAACATCTACCACTCCAAGAGGTCACCGCAGCCCCCCAAGAAGGAATCACTGGGAGCGCACAGCATCACTTCTCCTGGGGGCAACAACGTGCAGCTCATAGATAAGGCCTGGCAGCTGGGCCGTGACTACAGCATGGTGGAGTCGCCGCTCATCTGTAAGGAGGGGGAGAGCGTGCAGGTGAGCTCTGACTCCTGTTGTCCCCCCGCCCCCGCTCCATCACCTGTCCCTCCCGCTCTGTCTGTCTGTACGTCCATCATCCATCTATGTGTGATAGGGCAGTGAGGTTGTCTTAAAGATGAATCTTAGGATAAAGAGTGTGAACCACCCTGTCCTCAAATGTGGCCCCAGGATGGCTTCTGGAAAGGTGTGTTCTGAGCACACACAGCTGGGTTTCAGGACAGTCACCACCCTTGGAGGACGTGTGCCCAGAGTAGCAGGGAGAGCAGTGAAGGCTTCTGGCTGGCCACCAGCTCCTCCCCAGTTCTGCCAGTGCTCAGTGTCTGTCCTGAGTGCAGGGCTGTGTGCGCGCTGGACCGAGGAGCAGGGTTAAGAGCGATGGCTCCTGGTGCCCAGTCGTCACACTAGGAGAACAGGTCTCCTTCAGATTGGGGGTCTCTTTAGACGGTCAGGCTCTGCAGGACCTCTGATAGAACATGCCATCCAAAAGGGCCTGTGACCTCGTGCGAGCAGAGCACACTTACCCAGGACCCTCTGCTGACCCAGGGACTAAGGCGTCGGCTTGCCCTTCGGGATGGGGTGCCTCTGGCTTGGCTGTGTCCCAACAGCCTAGTGACCCCTGGTGGCCTGGTTGATGCTGCCTCCCCGCCCCCATGCTTCTGTGCCTCCAGCTGACACCCACTGATGGGGGACACTGTCAGGGTGTTTCCTGACTGAACAGGAATGCAAGCTTTGCCTCCCTTGTGGCGATCACTCGTGTTGCTGACCTCTAGCGAGGCTGAGGACAGCCCCACATCGGGCAGGAGGGAGCCCAGCCCGCTCAGCCGCCCTCCTGCTGTCCCCAGGGCTCTCACGTGACGCGGTGGCCAGGTTTCTACATCCTGCAGTGGCGTTTCCACAGCATGCCTGCGTGTGCCGCCACCAACCTGCCCCGGGTGGACGACGTGCTGGCCTCCCTGCAGGTGTCCTCACACAAATGCAAGGTCATGTACTACACAGAGGTCATTGGCTCCGAGGACTTCAGGTGCATGTCCGAGCCCCTTGTGCTCACTGGAGGCTGGGGTGTGGGGTGCACAGGGTGGGGACCCAGCTGGCACACATAGCTGCAGGCGCCTGCACGGGCAGGGAGGGCCCGAGGTCCCTGGCTGGCTCCAGCTGCCCATGAGGGTGGAGAATACGGAAGGCAGTGCCCCCTGGTCAGTTCAATGGGATCCGCATGGAAGGCGGGCGGGGACGGACGCAGGACCTCAGGTGACACTGGGGCCCTCCTCGTGCCTGGGCTGAGAGAAGTCTAGTGGTGCATGACCAGATGGCAAGGGGTCCTAGAAGAGTGGGAGGGCTGGGTTAGCAGTGCAGCACCAAAGGAGCCCAGCTAGGCCGTGGAGTGGGACAGCCGGGGAGCTAGGAGGTTTAGGGGGCCAGGGCGGTGAGGTAGTAGGGTTGGGGGGGCCTTGATTAGTGGGATTGGAAGACCATGGATGGCCTGGGTCAGTGGATTGGAGGGTCGTGAGGACCCGAGTCAGTGATGTTAGAAGGTTTTGGGAGGCCCAGATCAGTGGGGTCTGGAGGCAGTGGAGGCGTGGTTCCGCAGCAGGGTTGGCAGCAGAGGGGTCACGAAGACCAAGGCGTCGTGCTGACTCTCCCCTCCTTTTCGTTCCAGGGGCTCCATGACCAGCCTGGAGTCCAGCCACAGTGGGTTCTCCCAGCTGAGTGCCGCCACCACCAGCTCCAGCCAGTCGCAGTCCAGCTCCATGATCTCCAGGTAGTGCAGTGAGGCCGCCTCAGTGCGAGGGCTGGCGCTGCGGACGGCGCCCACCCGGGCCACCGCGACCGCCACCCTCTCGGGAGCCAGCTAGCTAGCGCTCCAGACGGTCACCCAGTCGTGTGACCCACTCCAGCCCTGACTAACTCATAGCCATAGGTGTGCACGCAGCGTGCGCACGACCCCCGCCAGCAAAGGGCTCCCGCCACACAATCTAGTTTCTAATCCTTAGACTGACTGTGTCTCACAAGCTGAAGCTAAACACTTCTTCCAGCAAACTCCGCCCAGGTGTTTGTACGTTAGTGAACGGGTCTCATAACATCCTCAGAGACAAGGCCACTTCCTTATGGGGCAGGACCTGCGCCTTGGGCCCTGTCAGCTGCAGCCAGTCTTCATGCTTCCCCTGCTGCTGCGGACGCCCCATGGACGCCGACTGCCCCATGGAGCCTCTTTCCCTGAGCAAACTGGACAAGGCCAAGGGGACCCCGAATGCCCCAGGCCCTAAAGCGGTGCCAATAGGCTCAGGGGGCAGCCCCGGACTTTAAGGAAAACACCGCCATGCTTAACCTCCACTGGCTCTCTTCTTTCTCACCCTGGGCGCTCTGCAGGGCAGGCCTCTGCACAGTGCGGTGGCATGTCCCCTCTGCCCTTTCCTGTTCTCTTCCTGCTCCAGGAAGTCTGTTCTGGACTCTCTAGTCCCTCTCCTAGGGCCCGGGTGGCTTCTGTCACCAGGTCCAGTGTCTCCGGCAGAGTAGCTAGTGCACTCACCGCAGCCAGCCCGCTGCTCTCTGGGTGCTGGGTGGGTGCTGGTTAGGGGGCGCGAGGCTTGTGGGAGCCCGGCTCCTTTGCATGGATTGGGGAGGTTGTGCATGTGTGTGAGTGTGTTCGAGGCAGGGGGTGCTAGCGGTGTGCTAAGAGTTTTGTTTTTGGGACAAAGGGTTCTTCATAAAAGTGAGCAGGATGTGCGATGGGCCAGCCTGTCCACTGCAGTTGCAAAGACAGCCCCGTCTCGTCAGGCCCACATGCAGACCGCTCTGGACAGGCAGGCCTGTGGTCACTGGGATGGGGCTGCGCGAGGAAGCTAGGAGGTGTGGCTTTTCAAGGCGTACGGGGCCTGCACAGCCACCCCGTGCGCGACAGGCCACCCTGGGCGGAGAATGTGAAGGATGTGTGTATCGGAGGGCCAGGCGGACACGAGCAGGTGGCCCGGACATCCCACCCCACCCCCCAGCCCCAAAGCTGTGGAGGCCACCACGCCTGTTCAGGCCAGCCTGTTGGTCTCGCTGGCCACCTGCCAGCTCTGTATCCCCTTCAGAAGCCACTTCAGGAAGCACAGCAGGGTCAGTGTGGGCATCTGTGCCACATCCTCTCCTGTCCCCGATTCCAGACCATGAGGACCTGAATCCGGCCCCTCCTCTCTCTGTCTCTCTCTCTGTCTCTGTCTCTCTCTCTCTGTCTCAGATGGCGGTTTTGCTGACAAGCCTCCAAGAAAACGCTTCACCCGACAGCCCACATCTGCCCAGAGAGGTTTCTAGAACTCTTTGAACTGCAGCCACTTCTCCACCTTCCACCCTGTCTGAAGAGCCTTTTTTTTTTAAATTTTAACAAACAACGTATTTATTAACAATATGTGGTTATTTAAAGTAGAATGTTCAAAGTAATACACTTTAACATAGCCAATGTTAAGAATATATAAAAAAAAGAATATGTCGTGTTCTTAAATTCATGGTCTCTCTTCAGAGATTCAATTATGCGACAGGAACTGAAGACATTTTTTAAGAACTTCCATCTCTTCCCCTAGAGCTTTCTTTAACAGATTTGTTTGCAGCATATCCAGTTCTTTTCTCAGTTTTTCTGATGTTTCGGCCAATAAAGCTACATCATTCTTCACATTCTTGATGAATTGTTCATTCAGAGTTTTCATCTCTTTGAGTCTCTGGTCATGAGAAATTGAAGACTGTTGTCGAAGTCTCTGCTGCTGAGAATCAGTAGCTCCTGTTTCTCAGCATTCTCTTTTAACTTCTCATACGAACTCCTCTGAAACTGCTGACTGAAATCACAGTTCATCTTCCAGTGCTGCTCCTGTCGTCTTGCCGTTTAATTTTCTGGAGACGATTTTCGACAGTTGAATTCATAGTCATTTCAGTTCTTTTTCTTTTTTCACTAAGAGACTTCATCATGTCCTGTTCAACTGTTTTCATCATGTTTTGTATTGCAGGTCTCATTTTTCCCTCAGCTGGTCTTTCCTCCGCACTTTTTGCAGTTCCTTGAGTTGTTCTGCCCACCCTTGGAACAGCTCAGATCTTTATTGTACTCTTTGCCATTGGCTTCTTCATCGCAGTCCTTTATTGAGACGTCACAGATTTCTCCATTGCCTTTCTTCGAGTGGATGCCATCCTGCAGTTCTGTCTGCTAGCTTGCTCTTGCTTTTATGGCTGCTTCAGAAGGGAGAGGAGGTGGCTGGTTTTAAGCCTTTCTTCTTCGTGTGACAGCTGGAAACTGAGCTGTCAGGGTCCCGCGGAAATGCTGCTTCCTTCAGGCCAGACCCTCAAGGACGAGAAAGATCGAAGAGCTATTTTTTTTTAAGTTGACTGAAAAGTGGCGCTGTTTTTATCCCCAAAGAGTTTGCTGCATCTTTCCAAGTTGAAAGCACATGAGCGCACAGACGCTTTCAGGGTCCCCTCCTGAGTCAACGCCCTCGTCCTCCCGAGGGACGGGCCCCGCTCTGTGGTCTGCTCTGCCCACTCCGAGCTGCCACCTCCTGGCATTAACGAGCCTCCCTGGGCTCCCCACCCGGTCTCTAATCCCCCCCCCTCAAAACCTAGTATTTGCATATCGAATTCTGTAAATGTTTTGTAAACTTATTACCTCACTCTTGGTAATATAATACTGATAGTCTTTAAAAGATTTTTTTATTGTTATCCATAATAAATGTGAACTGTTTGAAGAACAGGGTGTCTCTTTGTGCCAGGCACAGCCTGAAGGTACTGCTGGAACTGGCCACTTGCAGCCCCAGGTGGGGTGGAGGGGCACAAGGACAGCCTCCCGGGGGCCTCGCGGGGACCAGTCTTGTCGGCTCCCCACCTCAGATTGACCCAGTGTCCAGACCCAGCTGCCTACGTGCAGGAAAACATCGGACCATGCTGGGGACACCAGAGGCCCATAAGCTGTGAGGAGAGGGAAGCTCTGGTGGGCTGATCAAAGTCCAGAGGCCTGGCGCCTCTCTGATCTGGGCGAGACTGAACTTGCCTAAGACCAGTGGTCAGGTGCCAGTGCACAGAAGTGACCACCAGGACGGTGACTCCCTGGGCTAAGGAGGGGTGTCGGGGAGCATTCGATTTTACTCTGACTTCTGTTTTTCGCTTGGAGCTTTGGATGATCTCGGATGCCGGAAGGAAGCACCCTTGGTCCTTCTCCCAGGCCAGGACACTGTTCCCACCCAAGGCCCAGGGTGTGGTCAGGGCAGGAGCTGGTGTTTGAAGGTGGTGCAGGTGGTGCAGGTGGCTGAGCGGCGTGGAGTCCACGGAGCAGCCAGATGCCCGGCTCTGTGGTGACCGCTGCATTCCTAGTGGCCTTGTCCCTTCTCCACGAGCACCCTGAAACTGCCAGCTGACGCTGCCCCTCCCCAGCTGCCTACACTGGCCTTCCTCCAAGGTCAGGGTCACCAGGACTGACCTTGGCTTTCTTGTAAGAGCTTGATTGGACACTCTGGCAAGAACAACTGCTGGCCGCCGCTTCCAGCCGGTTCTCAGAAGCACACGGGCCAGAAGCCCGGCTCCCCCTGGATAACACTGGCCTGCCACTGCTGTGGTGGGCACTCCGGGCTGTGGTCAGCCATGTTTGTCAGAGTAGAAGTGCCCCTTGGGGTTCTGTACTGGTCATTGGCTGTAGACTGCCAGGCCTTTCTCCCAAGTAACCCAGAGCGGATTCAGTCCACCAGCCTTCTAGCCAGCAGCTGACCTGTGACCCTCCCGGCCCTCCCAGGGCGCCCCTCCCGTGATAGCAGAGATACTGCCCAGCTCAGAGTGGCAGGATCCTCCAGTGTCAGCCGAAGGTGGGACTTAGACCTCCCCAGTTATCAAGCCCTGTGCTCCCCCCCCCAATCCTGCACAGCAACCAGCACCCCTGACTGGCAGTCCCCCTCCAGGAAGAGGGAGACCAGACGCAGTCCCAGCGGCCCTGTCTGTCCAGGTCACCTGGCCGCAGTGCTCCTCTGGCGCCTCCTGGTGGACGACCAGGAGACACAGGCTCGCGCTGTGGGGTCTTCACCCAGCTCCCTGCAGCTCAGCCTGGCGCCTCCAGTCATTTGAGTGTCAGCGGACCATGGGGAGGAAGTGATCCACCAGTGCAGCCACCCACTGCCCCAGGGTCTCCTCTTCACCCCACCCCTCCGCTGTGTCTCTGGGCCTTGACTCCATCTCTGCAGACACCGGGAGGGCTCTGGGGGCGGTGCGGGAAGAGGCCAGCAGGACGGAAGCAGTGCCTCACCCGTGCCTCCTACATCATCCAAAGCCAGGGCCCAGGCGAGCATGCAGGAGTGCGCTCTCAGACCCTGTGAGCCAGTTACACACGCTTACCTGTGCCTACCAACATGTGTGAGCAGGCCTGGCTGTGCTCACTCCCCCAGCAAGCACGGTCCCAGCACAGCGTGCCCGCCTGCCATCCCAGGAAGCCAGGTGGGCACATGGACTCTGCCCTCCCAGCAGCCTGGGAAGCACAGGCTGTTAACCACAGCTTCTTTCCAACTTAACTGGAAGGTCATTGATTTGAACTTTTGGGGTCGAGAATAAGCACTTAGCTGCACCCCCAGAGCTCCTCTCCACAGGCATAGTGACTTGGTTTTAGGGACACAATTCAGTCCTTGACAGGAACTCATAGCCAGGTTCCAGCTTGTCAACCCGCGTGGATCAGAGTAGACTTGAGTTTCATGAGGCTTCAAAAGTTGATTGCCAGTCCTTTCTTCTGTGTGACCACATCCCTCATGGAGCACATCAAGAAGCTTCT